TAAGGAAGTACTTACGAAGTCACCACTGGAACTTGCTTTCACTCTCAGAACAACTTGCTTTTGGAAATGTTAATTTTATGACCAGCCTCTAAATGTCTGAATGCCTAAAAATGAGATTTCTCAGTGAAAAATTACCCCCTTACTGTAGGGCAAGACAAAGGTGAATAGTGGAAGCCTGTTCTGGTTTCTGCATCTGTTAGCAGGGAACAGTCCAAATGCCTGGAGATTGGGTCATGTTTGCTGTATCAGTGGAGTTGGATTTGCTATATTAAGAACTGAGCTGGTTCAGGATAAATGATGAAGGAACGCTCACAGTTGCCCTTCTTTTTTGCTGTTGATTAAGACTTAGTACATTCCTCCCTTTATTCATTTCAGATTTAAAACATGGCACTTCGCCAAATAATTTCTGAAATTGATCCTCACATACAGTTCTGAAGCTTAGTTGTTTTGCTGACATTCTTTTGTGCGGTGTAAGGAAGCGGACTTCTGTGCAGGCCTATAAGAGGGTACCACAGTGATTTTTGTGGGGGAGGATGGTCAGTGAGGGGGTGCTGCATAGCATGTGTGGCATGTAGGCTGCGTGCACGCCCTTTGCCTAAGAATAGCCCATCTGTTGCGTGAGATTAAGCATTTCAAATCCAGATGGTTAAAAGCTTAAATCAGTCTTTCCTAAGATACAAATGACCCATTTCAGAGACTTTCTACACTTGGGCCACTGTGATGCAGTGAGAAAATTTACAACTCTGTGAGGAAATCCTTCCACACTGATATACCTACAATATGTTCAGCATCAGTGTAATGGCATCCTTTAGTGCCATACTCAAGGGTCATTTGGAGTTTCCTTTATAAACTCTGATTTCCTACAGCATGTAATTATGCACATTCCACTGGCATACAAATTGTCATTCCTGTTCCCCAAAACATCCCTTAAATTGGGTTAATTTGTGATCAGTTTTAAAAAGAACTGTTTGAGGATAAATACACTATCCCATATAACTTCATTTAGGATGTAGGAATACAGAATCCAGTCCTACTAGAACAGTGTGGGAACATCACTTCAGCATTCAGTTGAAGTAACTCTCAAGATTGACAAGTACCTTGTCCTCTCAAAAAACTTGAAATGTGCCTGTACCAAAACTTGGGTCCAGGAAACTGATGGAATGCCTTTCTACTACGAGTCTCATGATATAAAAATTAATATTTAGAAGTTCTAGGTGCAGGCTAGTAAACTCTTAATTGTCCAGCAACTCAGGACAAACAGACGATCCTATCTTGACATGGTTAATGTAGTTACCGTATGCGTATATACTCAATCATAAGCCGGTTCGTTTATAAGCCAACCCCCCCAAGATGGATAAGTAAAAATGGAAAATTTTTATGACCCATTCATAAGCCGACCCTATAATTCAGGGGTCAGCAAACTTTGGCTCCTGGGCCATCAGGATAAGCCACTGGTAGGCCGAGATGGTTTGTTTACCTCGAGCGTCCGCAGGCATGGAGGTAAACCTAAGTAAACCAAGTGTCCCAGCGCGCCAGCTGCTTACCCTGACGGGCCGGGACAGCAACTGGTGGGGGAAAATCGGCTTATGAACGAGTATATACTTGTTGCTTACCTGCACTTACAGTGTTGGGTGTGTTTACTGACTGACACATCTAACTTGGGGCTGTTATTGAGAACAAAGGCTCCACAACCTAGTTGTCGTTGTAAATTTTATTGTTCAGTATTATTTGATTCTGTCTGACCTGCCTTTTTGCTAAATTCTTCCGCTGGCTTATACCCACGTGCCCTTTGAAGTGAGCACGCACAAAGTTGGCTATATGTTTCTCCAATCAGTGTAACCAGGATTTTAAAGATCGTATCCGCTGTTCCCAGGAGGGAGTGACATATGATGTAACAATTTTAAAAAGTTACCCTTTTTGGCTACCGAATGCATGTATAATATAAAAATACAAATTTGGACAATAATGTGTAGCTTCAGATGAAGGTTTTTCAAAAGTGACTTGTGACTTTGAGTGCCTCAATTTTTGAGTGCCCAACTTGATGCTCTAAAGGGACCTGATTTTTCAGAGGGTGGATGCTCGGCACTTTGAATATCAGGTCCTATAAGAGGTACCTGAAATCAATGGTCACTCTTGAAAATCTTAGCCCAGTATATTATTGTTTGACCTAATTTATACCAGAAGGTATATAGAAAATGCAATGTGACTGTTAATGTTGTTGGACAAACTTTTGTAGCACTCCTTGTCCTGGGTGATTTGCACAGGTATTGGACTGACGTTTCCTAGATTTCAGCAGTAACTTTAACATTTCATATTTCCCCCTGCCCCCAAAGTTAAGGCATCTGGGGTGGGACAGGGAAACCACTGAGATGCCCAGATAAAGACTTAAACTTACTGGAAGCATTCTGTTCAGAAACAAATCTGCTTGCTTATTCTGTATTTTCTAGATTTCCCTTCTCTCTTGAACCTGGGGCCTGGGCTAAATATGAAGTTGCACAGGTTTATCTAAAAGTGTGTTTTTAAACTGATTTAGTTATCCCTGTGTGGATGCGCTCTTATGTTGATCTTCCTTGCATTGGTGAATTCACAGGTGTAAGCCGAAGCAGTTTTAAACAGAATATGTTCACACAGGTTAAAAACACACCTTTAGATAAACTGGCATAACTTGGGATCTTTGTTAGGTAACTGACTGAGCCAGATTTCTTCCGTACCTGAAGCTGATATTTTCAGAGACATTAATTGGTGGAAATGTCAGAAGATTGGCAAGGATTGGGAAATAAGCAGGTGTAGCAGCTAAGCTCCTAGAGAAGCTCTTTACATGCACATTTTCTCATTAATGGATGAGAGGATAGCACCCATCCCCCCTGAAAATAACATTCAAGCAAAATTTTTCTGAACCATTAATATGCTGAGCTTTCCAGGAAGTATAAGTAGTTCTTTAAATTTAATGTTCAGAGTAGCTGTTCAAAATAATAATAATAATAAAAATATTGGACAGAATAGCTTACATCACACAATATCCCCAATTTGCCCTTTCACCTATGGACTCTGGTTTTTAAGGAGTGAAGTATGGTACTTACAAATATAGAGATCTTCATCCCTCAGCCATGTCTGGTCTTTGAGGAGCTAAAGATACTAAAGAGAAAATCTCCAGATTTGGACTCTAAGGATCCTGTCATCACTCCTGGTAACTGACTACCATGGTGTACCGTCATTGCTTTTGTGGGTTTTAGATAATCTAGCCGGGTGACTCCGCTAATTTTAACCACCTTTTAAAGAAGTTGAATGTGCTTAAGATCAAGTGTTAAGATTGCCTTCTCAAACGCAAATGCACAATACCAATTTCAAATTTACAGCAGCCTTTGTCTGTTGTGTAATTCAGTCCAACAGAAGAACTTGTAAAACTGCATTATCCAGACATCAAAGCAAAGAAAATATTTTATACTAGCTGCATATTCAATGCTTAGCAACAGACAGAGTTACTGTGAAGACCAACAGTGTTACCAGTATACCAGTTAATTTCTGTCTCATTTTAAAAAGCTTACCACATCAACATCATTCTGAGATTTTCCTTTTAAGCAACCTCCCCTCTCCAATTTCTGCTATTTAAACATATCACCATATTGAAAAATAGTATAATTGGAACCATTCCTTCATTAGGCATTAGTTTAAGAGGACTTCCTTGTTTTAGTATATAAATCTTGGTTAAGTATATGGAAAGTATATTCCTTTTTATGGGGTTTACTTAGATCTTTTCACTCTCTGAACTACTATGATCCTGTTAGATTGAGTCTGTTCCCCCGCAAGTACAGGAGATAATCCTCCTGGTAGAAGACATATCAGATATTAGACTAGAACCATACTTGATCTTAGCTGGAAGGCAAACAGAAGACTTTACATTCTGCTGCTCTAGGAATTATTTTCAATATGTTAAACAGGAATACATATGCAGTGTTTCGTCTCCTTCCCTCCCCTCCCCTCCCCTCCCCCCTTCCCTTGGGGGTGGATGGGCTTTCTCCTGTCTCCAGAACTGACTCTTATTTCTCCCCTTCAAGTCTCTGTCAGGCTGACTCATTTTTCCTGCGGAGTACTTGCTCCCAGGCTTTCGAGGGTGGGTTGCTCCCTTCTCCAGCCCTCACCCTAAGGTCCTGTGCAAACTACAACTTTTAACTGAGTTTGTAACCTTTAGTGACATGGCTGACTTGTGGTTTGTGCCAACACACCACAAGATATGGCAGTTATAATGATGGCTGGGTAAGTAGTGTCCATCGTGGCTAGGCTAGCATGCGGTTAGTAACCATGGAAGTTAAATGTTTTGTCCTTGCCAGAGGCCTAGGCTGGCACATGTTATCCTGTAATCAGTCTGTCACAGCTTTTTGAACTGGGAGCAGGACCCTCACCTGTGTCTGTGTACCTGGTTTGGGTGGTCTTCCCTCCTGCCAGCTGGTGTGGTTGCCTCTTATGCTTATCTTTGTGCATGTTCTCCAGGCACTCAAATCCCAGTTGAGACCAGAAGGAGAACTGTCTAGTGCACTGTTACAAACTTGATTTAGGTGCATGGTAGGTGCAGATACACAAACATAAATGTGATGGAAGAAAAATTGCTGTGTGGACACAAACTGAACTGTAACTTGTAACTGGGTGAGGTGATCTCCTTCTAACTGATTACAAAATCATGGTTGAGGTGGTAGCATGGTCAGAGTACCTCTCCTAGCCTAGTATTCCCATTCGTTTGGGTGACCAAACATATACAGCTAAGCAGTGGGACTTCTGGGAGATGGCAAATGAGTGTGAAAGTCAGAATAATAAGATTGAGACACTGCATTGATAAAATATTTTAAGGAACAGTTTACAACTAGTTGCCATTTGTGTTTGTGATTAAATGCAATGTATTGAACTGTACTGACCGAGTCTTTCTTGAGTTCAGTTCTAGTCGTACTATAATTTCAGAGCTGTAATACTGATTATTCTTTTTCTTTTTCCTAGGGGGAAATGCAGGCTATCCAATGATGAGACTCAGTGAGAACTGAGCTGCTGCTGGTGCATACGGTATGGGAACAGCAAACTTCATTGCCCTGGCAGTCCGCCTGGATTGATAACTGTCACCCCTCCTCCAGCAAGCTTTGAAATTGCACGGAGTACTGGAAACACTAATCCTCTCGGAAGCAGTTGACTGTGGCAGGATGTGTGGATGATGATGATGGCAAGAAAGCAAGATGCTCGCACTCCCACCTACAACATTAATGTGGTGGGATTGTCCGGGACGGAGAAGGAGAAGGGGCAATGTGGCATTGGGAAGTCTTGCCTCTGCAATCGGTTTGTGCGGCCTAGTGCAGATGACTTTCATTTGGACCACACTTCAGTTCTCAGCACCAGTGACTTTGGAGGAAGGGTCGTCAATAATGATCACTTTCTGTACTGGGGGGAAGTTGGGCGTCCCCTGGAGGATTGCGTGGACTGTAAAATGCATATTGTGGAACAGACTGAATTTATTGACGACCAGACTTTTCAGCCACATCGTAGCACGGCCCTGCAGCCCTATATCAAAAGGGCAGCTGCAACCAAACTTGCATCAGCTGAAAAGCTCATGTACTTTTGCACTGATCAGCTAGGGCTGGAACAGGACTTTGAACAAAAACAAATGCCAGATGGAAAGCTACTGATTGATGGCTTTCTTCTCTGCATCGATGTTAGTAGAGGTATGAACAGGAACTTTGATGATCAACTTAAGTTTATTTCAAATCTTTACAATCAACTAGCAAAAACAAAAAAGCCCATTGTGGTGGTCCTGACGAAGTGTGATGAAGGAGTGGAGCGGTACATTAGAGATGCACATACTTTTGCCTTAAGCAAAAAGAATCTCCAGGTTGTGGAGACATCTGCTAGATCCAATGTGAACGTTGACCTGGCTTTCAGCACTTTAGTGCAGCTAATTGATAAAAGTAGGGGGAAGACTAAAATTATCCCCTACTTTGAAGCTTTGAAACAGCAGAGCCAACAGATAGCTGCTTCAAAAGATAAGTATGAATGGCTGGTTAGCCGCATTGTCAAAAACCACAATGAAACATGGTCGAATGTCAGCCGAAAGATGCAGTCCTCTCCAGAATATCGGGACTACGTGTATTTGGAAGGAACACAGAAAGCCAAGAAGCTGTTCCTACAACATGTCCATCGCCTCAAGCAAGAGCATATAGAGCGCAGAAGAAAGATGTATCTTGCTGCTCTTCCTCTAGCATTTGATGCTCTTATTCCTAATCTGGATGAAATAGATCACCTGAGCTGCATAAAAGTAGAGAAGTTATTGGAGACTAAGCCAGATTTCTCAAAATGGTTTGTTGTTCTTGATGAGACCCCTTGGGATGCTACTAGCCATATAGACAACATGGAAAACGAATGCATTCCTTTTGACCTGATGGAGACTCTGCCTGCAGAGCAACTTTATGAAGCTCACTTAGAAAAGCTGAGAAATGAGAGGAAAAGAGCAGAAATGAGAAGGGCTTTCAAAGAAAATCTGGAGACTTCCCCTTTCATAACACCTGGAAAACCATGGGAAGAGGCTCGTAGTTTTATTATGAATGAGGAATTTTACATGTGGCTGGAGGAATCTGTCTATATGGACATCTACTGCAAACACCAAAAACAAATGATAGAAAAGGCAAAGGAGGAGTTTCAGGAACTGCTTCTGGAGTATTCAGAATTGTTTTATGAGCTGGAGCTTGATGCTAAACCTAGCAAAGAGAAAATGGGTGTCATTCAGGAGGTTTTAGGTGAAGAGCAAAGATTTAAATCTTTACAAAAGCTGCAAGCTGAGCGAGACGCCCTTATTTTGAAGCACATTCATTTTGTGTATCACCCAACTAAGGAAACTTGTCCTAGCTGCCCAGTTTGTATCGACTCTAAAATCGAGCACTTGATCAGTTCCAGGTTTATAAGACAATCTGAGCGCAATCAGAAAAACTTGCTTTCTGATTCCAACATAGATAGGATCAATCTAGTTATTCTTGGCAAAGATGGCCTTGCACGTGAACTAGCAAATGAGATTCGAGCTCTGTGTACAAATGACGACAAGTATGTGATAGATGGTAAAATGTATGAACTTTCCTTGAGACCAATTGAGGGTAATGTCCGACTTCCTGTTAATTCTTTTCAGACACCAACATTTCAGCCACACGGTTGTCTCTGCCTTTATAATTCGAAGGAATCTCTATCTTACGTTGTGGAAAGTATTGAAAAGAGTAGAGAGTCCACCCTTGGCAGAAGGGACAATCACTTGGTTCATCTTCCTCTGACACTAATACTGGTTAACAAGAGAGGGGACACCAGTGGAGAAACACTGCATAGCTTAATACAGCAAGGTCAACAGATTGCCAGTAAACTACAGTGTGTCTTTCTTGACCCCGCTTCTGCTGGCATTGGATATGGACGTAACATTAATGAAAAGCAAATCAGTCAAGTTTTGAAAGGATTACTGGACTCGAAGCGTAACTTAAATCTTGTAAGTTCTACATCTAGCATCAAAGATTTAGCAGATGTTGACCTTCGAATTGTTATGTGTTTGTTGTGTGGAGATCCTTTTAATGCAGATGACATCCTTCTACCTATCCTTCAGTCCCAAACCTGCAGACCTTCCCAGTGTGGCAGTAGTAACTCAGTTCTACTTGAACTACCAATAGGACCACACAAAAGACGGATAGAACTGTCCATCCTTTCATACCATTCCTCATTCAGCATTAGGAAAAGCCGGTTAGTCCATGGGTACATTGTGTTTTTTTCAGCAAAACGTAAGGCGTCCTTGGCTATGTTACGTGCCTTTCTTTGTGAAGTGCAGGATATTATCCCTATTCAAATTGTGGCACTCACAGATGGCTCAATAGACATTTTAGACAATGACTTAAGTCGAGAACAGATGACTGAGGGACAGGAGATTGCCCAAGAAATTGATGGAAAGTTTACGACAATACCCTGTAGCCCGCCTCAACATAAACTTGAGATCTTTCACTCATTCTTTAAAGATGTGGTGGAGAAAAAAAATATAATTGAAGCCACTCATATGTATGATAATGCTGCTGAAGCATGCAGCACGACAGAAGAAGTGTTTAATTCACCTCGGGCTGGCTCACCTCATTGTAATTCAAACCTTCAGGATTCAGAAGAAGACACTGAGCCACCATCTTACAGCCCATTTAGAGAGGACACATCCATGCCCACTTTGCCCAAAGATCATTCTAAACTGTCAATGGAACTGCTGGAGGGGAATGATGGTCTGTCTGTCTTTTCTGTTATGAGCACTTTCGAAAGCAAGCTGAACAACAAAGTACCTCCTCCAGTGAAACCAAAGCCCCCTGTACACTTTGACATTACAAAGGGGGATCTGTCTTATTTGGAACAAGGGCATAGAGATGGACAGAGGAAGTCTGTGTCGTCTAGTAGTTGGCTGCCTACAGATGGTTTTGACCCTTCTGATTATGCAGAACCTATGGATGCTGTGGTCAAACCAAGGAATGAGGAAGAAAATATATACTCTGTGCCTCATGACAGCACCCAAGGCAAAATCATCACCATTCGTAATATTAACAAAACTCAATCTAATGGCAGTGGTAATGGTTCAGACAGTGAAATGGACACAAGCTCTCTGGAACGTGGTCGAAAGGTGTCTATTGTTAGTAAACCTGTGTTGTATCGGACAAGATGTGCGAGACTTGGGAGATTTGCCAGTTACAGAACCAGTTTCAGTGTAGGAAGCGATGATGAGTTAGGGCCCATTAGGAAGAAAGAAGAAGACCAGACATCCCAAGGATATAAGGGGGATAATGCTGTTATTCCGTATGAAAGTGCAGATGGAGAAGATCCAAGGAGAAGGAACATTTTACGAAGCTTGAGAAGGACAACAAAGGTAAGATGCTAATTTCTGGCTTTAGAGTTTGAGACTTAAAATATACCTTGGATTATAGAAGTCTTTTTCCTCCATGAGAAAAAAAGCATACACTTTCTAATAACAGAGTAGTAGGGGAACGGTTGACTTAACTGGCATCAACCTCACAAATTAGACAACCCAATGAGTATGAGCATTAAAAACTGGGCTCAGAATGACTCTTTAACGGTCATTTGTATACTTCATATATTTTTAAATTGCCCCTACACATGTTCTTAATTTCTAATTTCTGACTAGATCTCTGTGAACTGTGTGTGGAGGAAGGTAGCAGAGAGTGGGGAAGGAAGGAAGATGATAGTAAATAGTTCATCACCAAAGAACATCTCTCTTGTGTAGAGAGATCCTTGTATTGCACCTAAGTAAAAAATATTGTTCCTAATAAGTGTTGTTTTATTTAGTCTTAATAAAGCTTCTTGCAGAATACTCTTGGGTTACTTCCTTAAGTTGAATGTTACAATCTAACGTGATTGAAGCAAGAAATCGTTTAATAGTAAGACTGATGCTGTGCCAAAGAAAACCTAAAGTGTTTGTTTTACTGTAGCGAAAGTGGTTGTCTAACATGATTGCCCGTACTTATTCCGTACAGTTCTTGGGATAAGTGTGCCCCCCTCTTCTCCCCGGCCCCCGAATCTTTGAGAGCAGTGTCACTTGTAACCATTTTTCACCTTAACCCTCCCCCCACATAGCTTGTTCTCATGTAGGTTTCTGAGGGTGTAGTAGGGTGAGTGCCCAGTAGTTACTTTCATCCACTGAAAACGGAGCGAGCTCAGAGCATGCTGTTTCTTGGTGCTTCCCTCACCCTGTGTGTAGTTTTGGGGGGTTTGGGGTGTATAATTGACTGGTCTGAAGATTCAGAGCTTGGGTACCAGAGGCCCACTTTTCCCAAGAGGTGTGGGGCTTGTTGTGGGCACCTCCGTAAAGAGAAGGGATGAACACCTTATGTTATGTTGCACAGTGGTCCTTCTCCTTGGACTTACTGTGGGGAAATGCCAAAGAGTACAGAATCAATAATGATGGAAGATGTAATCTTTGGCTTGAATACATCTTTATATGTAGAATAAATGGCAACGATAGATTTTACGGAGCATGAAAAGGAGGCAGGAGACTGGTGACTACATAACAATTGGTGTCAAAATTGAGTCCTTAAAAGCACCTTGCTAGCAATTTTTACAGCCTTGTTTTTAACTTAATTTAGTCATACAGGAATAAAAATTTAAATTCTAACTCCCTCCTTTGTCCATTTGTCTCCATACCTGAAAGTATCCTTATCCATGCATATAATCCTACAATCATGAGATGATATCACGTGAATGCTTTGAGATTATTTTTTTTACACAGCAGCGATGTTAAACAGGTTTATCAGTATATTTCTTCACTAAAAAAGGAATGCTGACGAGCTTAACATATACAGTAACGAGAAGTTAACATGAAACTACTATATTTTGATACATTGCCAACAATTTTATGCAAATATATTGGTATTAGTATAGTATGTCATGGTTAGAGCTAGCTGCACCTGTTTCCCCCTTCTGTTCTCTTTCAGTGAACCCCTTCAGGTGTCAAGTCTCATGCCTTTACCTGTCCCAGGGTGGAATTCTGCAATTCTTCTACTCTTAGACTGGGCCCTAGGCTACAGTGTCCTGCCTATCCAGCAGGTCTGACTGAATTTGGGTAACCTGTGGTTCTTCATTTTGGGAGTCTGTGACCAATGGTATACAATGATTAGACAGGCTTCATAGAACCAAGTAATTGTTTATTTTAACATTTCCCAGAACATTTAGACAAAAAGGGTTTTAAAATAGTCTGCATGCATGTCTAGCTTAGCTAAATGCATACCCTTCCCTGACAGTAACTTGGGCCTCCTAGCTTCTTCAGACATCCTTAATGGGGTGTTGTCCCAGTTGGGTTTCCCTGAACAACTACTTGCCTCTTGAGAGAGAATTCCTTTTTAAACCTGCCAGAGTTCTTTTGATCTCATGTGTTCTCAGGCCTTTTCCTGTCCTGATTAATACTAGTTTTGTAGGTTAGCTGGAGAAGAGGCAAAATCTTCAAAGATAATAGTCCTGGTATTGTTCCTTTACCACCCTCAAGTGTTTGCGAAGAGGTGGCTTATCTTGAGCAATTCTTTCCCATCCTGCCGGTTTTTTCAGACAGTCTCCTGTTGCAGTAAATCATGACACTCAAACAGTCATAAATTATTATGCAGCAGCTCTGAATGTGTCACAAAGTACACTTAGCTAAAATCAAGAAGGAACCCCTCTGTGGCTCAGAACCTGAAACGGGAGAATAAACAAATGCAGAGGAAGATAAAAAGTCTTGAACCCAGAGAGACCCTAGAACTGAAGGTATCTAGATTAGGCAAGTAGATGCTGTAGGAATGGTTCTTCAACATTCCTTTTTTAAAAAATAGCCTAAGGTGCTTTACTTATCTCTGTTCTACTGATAACACTAGGCACAGCCATTGCAATCAGATTTACTCTTTTCCAGGGCGTCTCCACATTGAGAGACTGAGAGTCACAGTGTTTGGTGCCAAACTCCTTTGGCAGTGAACATCGATCTCTTTTCCACCAACTGTCATGTTTTGGCAGTCAAAATCCCTCCCCCATATTTTTATCCATATAGGCGGGGATGTTGGGAGTATCGAGTAGTGAGTGAAGTTCTCCATTGCCCCAGGACCGATGTCTTTGATTTTGCTGTGCTGTATGTCTCAGGCAAATTAGCAGGAAGTTGAGACTGGAAAACGAATACTTCAAAGTTCTTGAATCTACTAACAGAAAATATCACTGAAGCAGCATGGCTGTACACCTATTCCAGGGGTTCTCAAACTGGGGGTCGGGACCCCTCAGGGGGTTGCGAGGTTATTACATGGGGGGTCGCGAGCTGTCAGCCTCCACCCCAAACCCTGCTTTGCATTCAGCATTTATAATGGTGTTAAATATATAAAAAAGTGTTTTTAATTTATAAGGGGGGGTCGCACTCAGAGGCTTGCTGTGTGAAAAGGGATCACCAATACAAAAGTTTGAGAACCACTGAATTCAGTTGAAACCAGTCTGCACAACTGCCAAATTCCTTTACTGAATTAGACAATAAACAGGACTTCTGGCTTGCTGGAGCACAGGTTTCTTGAAATGGCCCTATGACTAGATATTAAATCGACATATTAAAAACTACCTTATTCAAAAGGAACTTAAGGTGGGATTTTCTGAAGTACCTTGTTTGTGGTAAGGTATTTAATTGTCAGCATTGGGAACTGAAATATTTTATCAATGGAACAGGTAGAACTGAAATAATTGAAGAGTGCCACATAGCCTTGTATGTCCACTTTACCTCAACCCTGGTATGGAGGGGGTTACCTGTGAGGGCATTAGTGGAGTTTAGTCTCTTCTGCACTCTCCTTTTGAGTCTGAAACCATCTCACTTGTGACAGAGGTTTACGTAGATTCCTGTCTACTAGGAATTCGGCTGAGACCCACAAACTCACTTTGCATATTTTGGAAAGGCATTGTGTTCCTATGAGGTGAACGGTGCTGTAACCGATTTTGTAATCTTTTATATGCAATTATAGGGTTTTTTTGTTACAGAGGTGCTTGTTGCAACTTCATAGTTAAGGCTGAGTTCCAATTTGCACTTAAAGTAGGATTTCAACTGCTTTGATTCGTAAGTAAAATGTGTTGGCTTTCCCTTCACCCTCCCACTTTCCTGGTTCTTATCACGCAGACAGCAAGCAGCAAAAGACCAGAGGTCCGAAGCACAGACAATGCGATGTTTTTGGGGGTTAGTTTCTAAGCAAGCATATTCCGAAGCCCTTCACACCAGTTGGGCGTATCTCTATACGCCGATAGTCTATTCCCCAGTGTTCTGCTCCCACCTCTGATGCCGCAGAGTCTTGCCTGTGTCCCTGTTCCCCCCCCTTAGCAAGCATGATTCCAATTTCGCAATATCTTCCCCAAGCTAGCAGCACTAACTCTGAGTACGCTATGAATTTTCTGAGAATTTACAAGTAAATCCATTGATTAATTTTGAGCAACAGTTAGTTAATTTGAGTCCATTAAGAAATTTAACATCTGTAAGTCATCTTTGTTTCAAATGATCTTAACAATGAAATAACACACTTCAAACTTCCCACGTAGTTAAAATTAATTGAAATCATGGACATAGGCTATATTTGAAGAAATTAAATTGTAATTAAGATGAGTTGTATCTGTTATGATACAGATTACAGACAGGCTCGGGTAACCGTAAATGGGGTCATTGTGATGTTAGATTACTCAACCAATGGCCACCCTTCCTCCACAGCTGATTTTTGTCCAGCAGTTCTATTGCATATAATGACTCATTGATTTGAGGCTCTGTGGTCTCTAGTCAGGAATTCTCATCAGTAGATTGTGGTCCAACCAGCACTGCTCTTTAAAGATTCCATGGTGGCATACTAGCTTGAGCCATCAGAGTTTGTAAGGCTCCCTACGCACTGCTTTCTCAACTCCACTGTGCATTCAGGAAGTACTGATGAACTGAGGCGGGAGTGCAGGGGAAGCTCTTAAAGCACAGACATGTTGGGTTTTACGGACGGGGCTCTCCTTATTCTCCCTTTACACAGCACTGATCTCTGCAACACAATCTGCAATGTCCTTTTTGGTTTAGAAGGCTAAGGGATAGATTCAGCAGAACACTTTGGCAGCTTTGTGTTACGCAAAGCTGTTGTTAAACCCATATCCACTGGCTTGTGAACTCTGGCGACATTGCACTGTTTTCGTACACCAATGAATCTGCCCTTTAAAAGTCAAAATTAAAACCAAGTAAGGTTGATACTACATATCTTGAAATAAATAGAAATCTTGCATGGTAGAATTCTCTTTAGGCTTCTTTTTTAGTGTTTGTGTATGACGTTTTAAAATTTAAAACTAAGGAAATTCCTGGGAACGCGAACTACATTAAGAGGCGAAGATCTATAGTGTGTATCA